CTTAAATTAAGCTAAAAGCTGAAATAAGCTGGAAATAAGCCCTACCAAACAGGGCCTATGTCTCTCTTCCTTTTTCTTTTCTTTTTTTCAAGTCCATATATTTGGCTTCAAAGCTTAAATGGATTAAAAAAGTTCCTTTTTCAACATTGACAATACAATCTTCGTAAATAGAATCATTCTCCTTCTAACATTAAATAGGCCAATCTTCATTGGTTTAACTGTTAGTCACATTTCACTAATTCTAGCTATTTCGATCAAGTTTTAAATGTCCGAGTAAACGGATTCTAAATTTATCAAACTTTAGGTAGGAGAAATTCATAACCAAAACATGTATGATATAATAAACCCAAAATTCTACACATACGCTTAAAGTACTCCCTCACTTAACAATTGAGTTAGGTACAATTCTTTAAACTAATTAGCTGACTTGAAATCTCTTAAAATTTATCATTATAATTATTTTTGAATAATTCTTCATTAAATGCTCCATCTTTCTACATTTGAAACACACTCTCGAATTTTGATAACAGTCCCCATATAACACTTGTAACAAATTGAACATTTTGGGGGTGAACATATATCTTGCTTGAAATTACTCGTCTTTCCTAATTTTGCTTAACAATTAACACTCCACTTCTTAGACATATTCTGTAATTCCTTCTTTGACTTAACACTTTACTTTTTCTTCTAATCTTCGGTTTCCCATAGCATTGTTGCATAGTTTTTATCATATTTTCTAGCACTTCTTCCATTTTTCCCAATTACTCTAACAGGGACTCAACTTCTGTTTCATTCTTACTTCTCATCATCTTTTCCTAAAGTCACAAGACAAAGGTGGATAACACTTAGGGTAATATTGGCTAGTTTATAACATAACATCACATATTCAACCATAAGTCAAACAATTATACAAAGACATCGGTAGGGCAACCTATTCATTCCCATGGAGTTGATCAAGAATTTCCGACTCAAAGCCATGCCAACCGAACGTGATTCCAATCGGACTTTCAGGGTAATTCAACAAAGGTATGAGACTCTATGGTTTATACATTAGGTCCCACACCAAATCAACATACCGTCTTCATATCAAACAATTTTCTAACTTTCAATCACCATAGTTCCACACACTTCATTGATCATCAAATACTTCAACTTTTCCAAATATTCTCTCAGTCTAATTTTACATTTGATCATATAACCTTCATAGCTTCTACCAAAGATTATAATACCTTGTGGTACCATAATTTCACAAATCAATACATTTCTACTGACCAATGTTCTAGTAAAAAAATCTAATTTCCTTATAAAATTAAAAACTCCACAATAGCTCTTAACTTTCATACCGAATTTATTAAATAAACACATTTCGGTTTTCTTATTATCGTCAAAATTCCTTAATAACTCTTAATTCATAATCTCAATAGCCTTATGAGACTAACACATATACATTTTTTTGAATGCCCAACCCAACTTATCACTTTACTTGTTAGATTCATGCAACTTAAATTCATTCTAGACATTCTAATGCTCAATGGACATATGTGTGAGATATTAACTCGTGCTCTAATACCACTCCGTCACGACCCAAACCCGCCCCTATAGGTTTAGCATCATGACCGGCCAGTAATCCTAAGATTACTAAAGGCCTCTTAAATAGATACATAATATTAGTGGCTAGTAAAAGCAAAATACATACATACATCATCCATTGAGCTGTGCAGACTTACATGAGACAGAAAATATTTAAACTTTTTTTTTATATATATATACATATATTATCACATCATTCATGTGTCATCATATATATACAAATGAGACAAAAGAGACTTAGCCCTATATACAGAATAAACAAAAACTTAAACTTTAATCATATAACCTTGGCACTTGACATAACCAGAACCTCCACGGGAGGCGCATAGGTTGGCTGACAAAAACAGATTCCAGGCAAACGCTTCTAAGCCTGGTCACGCGCTTGATCACCTACATACATATACATATACAGTGAGCTAGAGCCCAGTGAATAACAACATTGTAAAGAGGTTATGAATGATGTCCTTACAGTATTTAAAACAATCCATTATTATCAGCAAACCAGTTTCTCATTTTAGAATCATATTGTAATCATAGCAGTCATACGTGATACATCCAATAGCAGAACAGTACAATAGGTCATAAAGACCGAATAGTCAAAATTTGATGGCCATCAATACAGTAAACAGAAGTTCCAAGAATCGGAACTGACAGAGATCGCTGTAACAGTAGCAGTAACAGATGCAATGGATGCCACGAATGCAGTTCATAAAATAAGACAATCATTCAATCGGTCAGGAAGTATCATTCTAGAAACAAAACATTTTATAATTCAAAAAATACTTATAATTCAAACATATCTTTACAAGGTTGTTACTGACAGATAGCTCTAGAGACAAATCAGATGGACCGTAGCGCTTGACCTACACAAACACATAACAGATACACATTGAAACACAATATCACTACTTTGATCAAAGTTAACTTCTCTTGTCATTTCTGTTAGGTAATCTGAAGTTATACTATGCTTATACTTACTTTCTCAATAAACCAAATTCTCATTTCACATATTCTTTCATTACTAAATCTTTCTTTTCCAAATAAACTGATTTCTTACTTGGCTTCTTAATCAATTACTACTAAATGAATGATTTATTTTTTAACCAACTAATTTATATTGATTGTTAGCTTATTAATCTTCATTGAGTCATAATTCTTGCCTAGAAATGTTTGGGAGGAGATGAGATGAAAATATGAACACATGACTCAAAAGCCTTCTTAATTTGTCGAAATTTAAATTTAATTCATTTCTTCATATTAAATCCAATTTCAAACTCATAAATTTTAAAACATAAATTAAGTTTTCCAAACCCAATTTCATGCTCAAAACTCCTATAAAACTTCATCAAAACACGAAAATAAATATGAACCATAATCAATCTTTAACTCAATTAAATCAAAACTTCTTTTAATTTCAAAATCAAACTCTCAAATTTCATGAACTCATGATTTTCAAAACTTTTTCTTCAAAGTCATTTATATACTCTATTGCATGGATCAAATCTTCAAACAATTCTTTTTGCATGTAATTTATAAAACTCAATTCAAGAATAGTTCTCAAAATTGAACCCAAATTTAACAAATTTAAAGAATCATAACTCATATTCTTCAACCTAACTTAATTTAACAACTATAGGGTGGTTGGCTTAGTGGGTGACGATTGGAGCCTGGAGGTTTGCTCCCTCCCAAGTCTCAGATTTGAATCTCCTAGCCAACAAACGCATACTTTGAGGCCACGGACCGAAGGGCGTAAGTTTTGTTTTGGAATGTTTGTTCAGGCTGTAGAGACTTGGTCTGATGCGCGTAAGTTAGCTCAGGATACCCTACATAACCAAATAAATAAATAAATTAATTAATTAATTTAACATCCAAAACCTAATTTCCTATCAATTTATATAATTAATTTTCAAATTATTTCTTAATTTCAACTTTTAGCTAAATTATTTATAAAGTCTAAATGTTAATTTCTTACCTTAAGTCTTCAATGATTGAATTTCTTGAATCTCCTTACAATTTTCAATGAAAAGTGATCATCTTCTTCAAAGTAATTGAGCCATCTCTCTCTCTTTCAATTTTTCTCTCCCTCTCGGTGCTCTTTCTCTATCTTTCTCTTTCCCACGGTTTCTTGGCAGAACTATTGAACTCAAAAGGGTTTAAGGGTTAGCACACTTGTACCCTTTTTTGATTTCATTCCCCCTTTTTTTTCCCCTTTTTTTTTATTTTTATTATCAAAGATTCTCGAGTGTTCTTACTCTCTCTACATATTTTAGTTATTTATTTATTTTTGATTGAATATAATTAGATTAATTGCTAATGACTCATAATTAGGCTTAATTAATTATGTTTAGTTTCAAATCAAATTACTTTAAATTAATTCTTAATTTATACCAATCTTAATGATGATTACCACACAAATAACTTAATTAACCCCAATTAAGACTTAATTTAATCATTTCAAATTTTATTAATCTAAATCAGATTTTTAATCAAGCTCCCAAGAGGCTCCAAATATCAAATTAAACTTATTGTCATCATCAATTTTGGTTTCTCCAATCGTTTAAACCTTCGATTTCTAATCAGACTTAAAATTTTAGTCAATAAATTCATATTCAAACTGGGCACCTCATAAGTAAATTTAATTCAGAATAACCACAATTCCCAATCCTCATAATTTAATTAACTCCAACTTGGACCTAATTAACCAAATCTTAATTTTACTAAATTGAATCGAATATTTAATTAAACTCTCATATAGTCCAATACTCGAAATTAAACTAATTTAACTAATCAATTTCATCTTCTTAAGCCATTTAGGCTTTCAATTTCTAATTCCAAAATAACTCTTTTATAAAATCATATGTGAATTAGACCCAATCACTACAAAAAAATTAACTTTTTGCGATGGTATTTTACCGTCGCTAATACGTTTTTGCGATAGCAAAATGACTTTGCGACGGCAAGAGGGGGTCGCAAATGTAGGGGTCGCAAAAGAGTTTTTGCGACGGCACTATTTTACCGTCGCTAAAAATGTTATTTGAGAAGGCAAAAAATACCGTCGCTAATAGTCTTTTTTTTTGCAACGACAAAAACACTGTTTTTTGCGACGGTGTGGTGCCGTCGCAAAAAGTGTTAAAAATATGAAAATTTCTATTTTTTGCGACAGTGTAATGCCGTCGCAAAAAGTATTAAAAAATAATAAAATTTTTATTTTAAATAATAAAATTTCTATTTTTTGCGACAGTATAATGTCGTCGCAAAAAGCAAAACCTGTAACAAAATTAATAAAAATATTATAAAAAAAATCATTGGACACTGTCTCCACTTGTGCTTCCTTATCCAATGAACCATCTTCTTTGTCCTATCCAAACAACAAATATGGATTTATCCTTAGATCAATTAAAAAAATTATCCTGTTTGAGCCTGTTTTCCAATCTCCCGCTTAAAAATAATAATAAAATGAAAGAAACCTAAACAGGAGAAGATATTCCTATTCATCATCAGACACTGTCTCCACTTGTGCTTCCTTATCCAATGAACCATCTTCTTTGTCCTACCCAAACAACAAATATGAATTTATCCATAGATCAATTAACATATGCATTAATTGAGAAAGATAAAACAAATCAAATAGAATATATAAATTAGAAAAAACTTGGGCATCAAGAAGAAACTTACATCTGCATTTTGAACATCCTTATCTGAAATCAAAGCCTTGTCATACTCTGCTTTAAGCTCTGCAGCTCTATCCAGATAAATCTTTTTCTCCTAGTAAAGGAATTATTAAGGTTAAAAGGGTCAGAACATTTTGAGAAAACATTTTTGCTTTAGAAAAATAAAATCAGATTGTCACTCACTTCATCTGTCATAGATTTCCATTTCTCACCACCTTCCTTTGCAACCTAAGTTTCATCCAAAAGGGAAAATACATCACATTCAATAAATCCCAGAAATACAAAAATGATCTACAGTAAAAAGTCAAGAGCTCGATTTCTACCGTAGCAACACTTTTACAATATGGATTGGCTTCCTTGTAAGTTTTCCTGAATTCACTCCTGAAGCATAATGAATGTTATCAAATGTGTCTATATATGTATATGTATATATATATATATATAGCGAGAGAGAGAGAGAGAGAGAGAGAGAGAGAGAGAGGCATTACATGAAGAGGAAAAAAGCAGTTTGGGGACGTTTGGGCTGGTTTGGATCTTTAGCTTTCTTTTCCTTCTTCACTTTCTTTGGATTTGGTTCAGTAGATTTTACTTTCTTTCTACAAGAAAAAAAAAAAAAGTGTTCAGAGATCAAATTAAGAAACCCCCAAACATGCAAAATGATCTAAATATCAATATGTAACATGAAACAAACATAAGGTGGAAGTCAATTTACTTTTCTGCTGGTATTGCATCACATGGCTTTTCATTTTCCAACATTTGTGCATCTGTAACAAAAACCCAAGAAAAAAAAATGAACCATTATAAAAGAGAGGGAAAAAAGGAAAAGAAAAAGAAAAATCAATAACTGAACCATAAGAATCATAAACAGGGACAATTAGTATATGGTTTTATGTATTTCTATTATGTGGGTATGTATATCTACTACGAATATGCAGACAAGAAGATAGAAACATAACAAAGTGATGGACAAAAATTGGAAGGGGAAAGAAATACATACCAAGAGACCTCTCAATTTGAGCTTCAATGTGGCAATCGTGCCAGCCAATCAGAACAACAGGCACCTGCCTGCTGCACTTTTCACTGCACCCATAATATATAATTAATTTAACAAATCAAATTTCCCATCATAATTTTTACATTCAATTATCCATCTCCCAACCCATAACCATTATCGATAAAAACAAAAAAATGTTGATATAAAATTAATGAACTTTATTGAATCACTAATGAACTTTATTGAAGTTATTCTAGGAGATATCTTTGCATGCTTTAGTATTTCAATCAGAAAATTATAGCAGAAGTGCTTCTTCAAAAAGAAGGCCAGCTCACTAGTGTGAAAATTCAAATCATCACACAGCATATCAAATAATATCTACTACATCCAAAGAAGGCCAACTCACTTGTGGGTAAAGATCACAGGTCCCCAACTCTTTCACTACCAAAGGTAATCTTTCTCCACCAGTAACCTGAGAAGAAAAAAGCACAGTGAATTTCAATATCACCTTGAGCAGAAATCGTTGTAGTTTTATTCAAAAAAAGATGAGAACAAAATTGAATCAAACCTCATAATCTGCACCAACACTCCTAATATTAACAGTCTGAATTTCATTGTGCTTAGCCCATATGATTTTTCCACTATTGTCCATACTAGCTACAGGTTCCTCTCGACCAAAAGCCCCAATTGTTCAATAGCCTCAACAAAGATTAAAGACTTAAAGGAACAAAACAAAAAAGAAGACGAAGAAGAAGAAGAAGAAGAAGAAGAAGAAGAAGAAGAAGAAGAAGAAGAAGAAGAAGAAGAAGAAGAAGAAGAAGAAGAAGAAGAAGAAGAAGAAGAAGAAGAAGAAGAAGAAGAAGAAGAAGAAGAAGAAGAAGAAGAAGAAGAAGAAGAAGAAGAAGAAGAAGAAGAAGAAGAAGAAGAAGAAGAAGAAGAAGAAGAAGAAGAAGAAGAAGAAGAAGAAGAAGAAGAAGAAGAAGAAGAAGAAGAAGAAGAAGAAGAAGAAGAAGAAGAAGAAGAAGAAGAAGAAGAAGAAGAAGAAGAAGAAGAAGAAGAAGAAGAAGAAGAAGAAGAAGAAGAAGAAGAAGAAGAAGAAGAAGAAGAAGAAGAAGAAGAAGAAGAAGAAGAAGAAGAAGAAGAAGAAGAAGAAGAAGAAGAAGAAGAAGAAGAAGAAGAAGAAGAAGAAGAAGAAGAAGAAGAAGAAGAAGAAGAAGAAGAAGAAGAAGAAGAAGAAGAAGAAGAAGAAGAAGAAGAAGAAGAAGAAGAAGAAGAAGAAGAAGAAGAAGAAGAAGAAGAAGAAGAAGAAGAAGAAGAAGAAGAAGAAGAAGAAGAAGAAGAAGAAGAAGAAGAAGAAGAAGAAGAAGAAGAAGAAGAAGAAGAAGAAGAAGAAGAAGAAGAAGAAGAAGAAGAAGAAGAAGAAGAAGAAGAAGAAGAAGAAGAAGAAGAAGAAGAAGAAGAAGAAGAAGAAGAAGAAGAAGAAGAAGAAGAAGAAGAAGAAGAAGAAGAAGAAGAAGAAGAAGAAGAAGAAGAAGAAGAAGAAGAAGAAGAAGAAGAAGAAGAAGAAGAAGAAGAAGAAGAAGAAGAAGAAGAAGAAGAAGAAGAAGAAGAAGAAGAAGAAGAAGAAGAAGAAGAAGAAGAAGAAGAAGAAGAAGAAGAAGAAGAAGAAGAAGAAGAAGAAGAAGAAGAAGAAGAAGAAGAAGAAGAAGAAGAAGAAGAAGAAGAAGAAGAAGAAGAAGAAGAAGAAGAAGAAGAAGAAGAAGAAGAAGAAGAAGAAGAAGAAGAAGAAGAAGAAGAAGAAGAAGAAGAAGAAGAAGAAGAAGAAGAAGAAGAAGAAGAAGAAGAAGAAGAAGAAGAAGAAGAAGAAGAAGAAGAAGAAGAAGAAGAAGAAGAAGAAGAAGAAGAAGAAGAAGAAGAAGAAGAAGAAGAAGAAGAAGAAGAAGAAGAAGAAGAAGAAGAAGAAGAAGAAGAAGAAGAAGAAGAAGAAGAAGAAGAAGAAGAAGAAGAAGAAGAAGAAGAAGAAGAAGAAGAAGAAGAAGAAGAAGAAGAAGAAGAAGAAGAAGAAGAAGAAGAAGAAGAAGAAGAAGAAGAAGAAGAAGAAGAAGAAGAAGAAGAAGAAGAAGAAGAAGAAGAAGAAGAAGAAGAAGAAGAAGAAGAAGAAGAAGAAGAAGAAGAAGAAGAAGAAGAAGAAGAAGAAGAAGAAGAAGAAGAAGAAGAAGAAGAAGAAGAAGAAGAAGAAGAAGAAGAAGAAGAAGAAGAAGAAGAAGAAGAAGAAGAAGAAGAAGAAGAAGAAGAAGAAGAAGAAGAAGAAGAAGAAGAAGAAGAAGAAGAAGAAGAAGAAGAAGAAGAAGAAGAAGAAGAAGAAGAAGAAGAAGAAGAAGAAGAAGAAGAAGAAGAAGAAGAAGAAGAAGAAGAAGAAGAAGAAGAAGAAGAAGAAGAAGAAGAAGAAGAAGAAGAAGAAGAAGAAGAAGAAGAAGAAGAAGAAGAAGAAGAAGAAGAAGAAGAAGAAGAAGAAGAAGAAGAAGAAGAAGAAGAAGAAGAAGAAGAAGAAGAAGAAGAAGAAGAAGAAGAAGAAGAAGAAGAAGAAGAAGAAGAAGAAGAAGAAGAAGAAGAAGAAGAAGAAGAAGAAGAAGAAGAAGAAGAAGAAGAAGAAGAAGAAGAAGAAGAAGAAGAAGAAGAAGAAGAAGAAGAAGAAGAAGAAGAAGAAGAAGAAGAAGAAGAAGAAGAAGAAGAAGAAGAAGAAGAAGAAGAAGAAGAAGAAGAAGAAGAAGAAGAAGAAGAAGAAGAAGAAGAAGAAGAAGAAGAAGAAGAAGAAGAAGAAGAAGAAGAAGAAGAAGAAGAAGAAGAAGAAGAAGAAGAAGAAGAAGAAGAAGAAGAAGAAGAAGAAGAAGAAGAAGAAGAAGAAGAAGAAGAAAAAATTTAAAAACATAAACTAAAAAATATGTTTGTTCAGGCCTAAAATATTTATATTTATTTTTATTATTTATGACAATAGGATCACACACATTATAATTGAAAAAAAATTAATTAAAAAAATAATGGAAAAAAAAAATTAATTGAAAAAAATGAAAAAAAATTTAATTGGGAAAAAAAATATTTGAAAAAAAAGATTAATTGAAAACAAATTTAATTGAAAAAAAATATTTGAAAAAAAATTAATTGAAAAAAAAATTATTTGAAAAAAAAAAATTGAAAATAAATTATTTGAAAAAAAAATTGAAAATAAATTATTTGAAAAAAAATTAATTGAAAAAAAATTGAAAACTGAAAACATAAACTCATTTTTTGAGTTTACGTTTTTTCCTTAAATTTATAAACTGAGACAACAATTTATAAATCAAAAAAATTATCAAACAAATTTTTATGATAATTTTAAAAATTTTTATAAATATAAACTGAAAACGGAATGGTTACCAAACCAGACCCTTATTGTTCTTGAAATGTTGTTGGTTTTGGGGCTGCAAGTTGGGCATACAGGTTTTTTCATTGTGTATAGGTAAGAGTCAATTTGTTTTTTCCTTTGTGTACCATTTTTGTTGTTCTGTTTGAGAAGAAGACATGAGTAAAGAAAAGTTTTGTGAAGGTTCATGTATTCTCATTCATTTCTTCTACATATTTACATACGTGTATGTATAGGTTTACACATATGTGCACTTACACAATGTGATATCATCTTGGTTACAGATCATTGTAGTAATTGTAGTTATGTTAGGAACCATTGTGACTATAGTATAAACATTTAAAATTTATGATGATTAAAAAAAATTATGAATCATTGTGGTTTTATTATTAATCATTGTGGTAAAATCACTACAAGAAAATGCATTTTTGCCGACCATTTTTGGCTACCAAAAACAATTTAGTCGCCAAAAGTCACGGAATTGGCTAACAAAAATAATATTAGTCAGCAAAAGTCAACTTTTTAGCTACTAATTTTTTTAGTAGGGGAATGTTGATTATTGGCGACTAAAAAAAATTTAGTAGCTAAAAATATTACAATTGGCGACTAAAAAAATTTTCAGTAGCTAAACATATCACAATTGGCGACTAAAAGAAAATTTAGTAGCTGTAGAGGTACCTTTAGCTACTAAATTGTTTGGTAGCCGAATGAAAATAAAAAATTTAATTTTTAATCTTTGCCGACCAAAATATTGGTCGCCAAATGTCAAGTTTCGGCGACAAAATTCCTTTCAGTCGCTGTAGACCTACTTTTGGCTACTAAATTGTTTGGTAGCCAAATGAAAATAAAAAATTTAATTTTTAATCTTTGCTGACCAAAATATTGGTCGCCAAATGTTAAGTTTCGGTGACAAAATTCCTTTTACTCGTTGTAGACCTACTTTTGGCTACTAAATTGTTTGGTAGCCGAATGAAAATAAAAAATTTAATTTTTAATCTTTGCCGACCAAAATTTTGGTCGCCAAATGTTACGTTTCAGCGACAAAATTCCTTTTAGTCGCTGTAGACCTACTTTTAACTACTAAATTGTTTGGTAGCCGAATGAAAATAAAAAATTTAATTTTTAATCTTTGCCGACCAAAATTTTGGTCGCCAAATGTTAAGTTTCGGCGACAAAAAATATTAATATCCTATTTTATTTTTTATTATCTCAAAATATTAATTTTTTAAAAAAATTAATTATTAAAATAATATGAATTTCTTATTTTGTCCTTTTTTTAAATCCATTAATAATACAAAAAGTACAATTATGACAATTGATATTTCTAAAAAAATATACTATCAAAAGGTAATTTTGAAAAATTAATATTTTTAAAATGTAATAATTGTATTATAAAAAGAAATTAAATTCTGAAAATAGACTATTATTTTGAGATGGAAGAAGTAGTCGGCTTTCATTTGATGGGTTGAGCACATCTTTTAATAATTGGGCCCTCACGTGAAAGGTATGCTAAAATGGGCAACTTGTTATTGTCTGTTTGTCGATAGTTTTACATTGCAAAAATTTAAAGGCATAGTTACATGTAACGCCCTCAAAATAGTACATAATAACCAACATTTTAGACATGCATTGATACAAAAGAAATCAACCATTTCTATTCATCAGAGTAATTCTTACAACTGTATTACATGTTAACAACAAAAGCAAATGCCCTATGGGCTTACAGCTTTCCAAGTTAACACTTGGTTACAAAACAAGAGTACTAACTCAATACACATTAAGCCCTTGGCTTGAATTTACATGTAATACATTAAAATATACAAAAGAAAGAGTCTTCAACTCTCATCATCATCCAAGCTATGTCCTTGGAGGTGGCATACTACCTGTACCTGAAAATAATGTCCCATAAAGGGTGAGCCACAGCCCAGTAGAGATATGCTAAACACAGTATGAGCAATGACTAAGACATTAGCAATTGATAAATGTTCAATTTCCATAAACTGATTCATAACCCAGTTCCATTCCATTCCACTTTCCATTTACTTATCAATTTCACAATTTACATCAACGGCTTAGAACCGGGCCAATCACTTATACGAGACAATGACTCATATTAAACATTTCCCTTTATACAATAGATAAACACATTGGTTTTATCAACATCTCAACAGAAATGCATACAAGCTATATCCACATTTCAACAGATATGCATATTAGCTATATCAACACTTTCAGTGACAAGCATATGAGCTATGTCAACACTTCCAAAGATAAGCATATGAGCTATATCAACACATTATCTGACAAGCATATGAGCT